GTGCACCTGTGCAGTGTTGAGCGTGTACGCGCCGCCCGCAACAGTCTTCTTGCAGGCCTTGCAGTGCCAGATGCCGGTCGCCACGCGCTTGATCGAGTCCTTGCCACAGAAGACGCACGTGTACGTCGCGTGCTGCGAGATCTCCATCTTTTTGACAGTCTTCCTCAGCGAGGCGCCATACCGCACACCGTACTTGCCGGTGATGCCAGCCTTCTTGGTCCTCTTGTTCACCATGGCTGGACTGCGCGCGGGGCGGGCGGGGGACGGGGCACAGGTCGGACGAGTGTCGACTCGGCGAGAGTGGCACCCCCAGCGCCCTCGCTCGCGGCATCCCGCGGGCTGACGCTCGCGACGGCAAGACACGCCGCGCGATCGAGAGGGAGCGAGCGGTGGAGGGTCGAGCGGAGACACGCGGCGAGGCGAGGGGGCCGCGCGCTGTTCGTCTGCGGCGCCCCCTTGGCCCCGGCGTGCGGCAAGAGGAGTGAGAGCTGTCTGTGGAGGCGGACCTGAGGCACGCGGCGCAGTGCTTTTTCTTTTTCCCTCGGATGAAGAAATCTCTGCGAGGTGTGTGTGTCTTGTCCCTCCCTTGGGTTGTCCGTTTTCTTTCTTTCTTTCTTTTTCGCTCACGCCGGGGAAGTGACCAGCGAACTGCAGGTAGTAGGGAAGGCAGCTTCGATTGCCATACAGACATGGGTGCGAAACAACGACAAGACCAAGCAAGGCAAGGGCAAGAGGAGCGGGAGAAGAACATAGGATGGATAAAGCGCCTGTTCACGGCATGGAGGGTGAGCCACGCCGAACGTACTGAACGTAGAGCCGAGCGGAAGGAAGCCGGGGATGACGACTCCGAGGAGGACGAAACACCAACCACTGGAAATCCCGCCGTCAGTCAGCTGTCACCATAATACGCGGCTCATAAGTTTCTCCGAGACCTCGCGAGCGGCAGTTATTCACACCTCGGCAGTGTGGTTTGGGCAGGGGTGGTCAGTGTGGGTTTCACACCCGTGGAAGGTAGGGGATCGGGCAGGGCAGTTGTGCGGCAGTATGCGGGCGTGTACCTGATTCTGTGGGGAAGTGCAGAATGAAGCCAGCGAGGAGGAAGAGAGCTCCGACGACCATCACGGCGGAAATCGTCCCTAGCTTGCTCGCCTAGCTCACTCCAATGGGAGCGGGAGCAGGAGCGCATATACCCCGCTGCCCCAGCTCCGTCTCGGGATTTTGCGGGCGTATCGCGCGGGAAAGAAAGAAAAATTCTTCTGTTTTCTTTCTTTCTGCGATTTCGGATTTGCCTTTAACTGGGTGCGCTTCACCTCCAACGTTCAAGCTTCATGTCCATGAATAGCTCATGTGAGGTTGCTCTTGCTGTGAATGCTCATTCGATTGCGACTGCCAACCACGAACCAGACTGGCAGCCCCTTGGAGTGTGAAGGCGTCGTAGCCCTCCGGTCTACTAACTGAAGACCCGCAGGGCTGGAGCGAAAAAAGAGAAGGGACTGCGGGCGGAGCCGGAGAGGGCCTCGCAGGCTCGAGGAGTCGCTTAGGCGGCTGCGCGGCTCCCGTGTTGTACCTGTGTTAGTGCCAGGCGGGCCAATCCGTTCCCGTTGAGTTAATTCGAATCCCACGATCAGCCGACTCGGAAAGCATGTTCGACGTACGTACGTATGGTATCTGCAATCTGGAGGACGACGACGACGACGCAGGACGTCCTATCTATCGGAAGCCGGCGCAATCGCAGTTCGCGAGGGTCGGGAAACTGGAAGTTGGCCCGCATGTCGGAGCGGGCGCGGCACACCAGGTACTGTGTTACTTGTTACGGAAAACGCACTCCCCACGCAGTCCCCGATTCTCCCTGTTGCGAGGATGCCCCAGAGCCGCGCGACACCGGTGTCGGGCTGGCGACACCCGGCACCACCCCAGAGGGACTCACTGGGGGAGGTGATAGTGCGCGCGGAGTCGGGTGACACGCAGCGGAAGTCCTGACCTCGGTAGGTGCGTCGCCCTCCTGCGCTGGGCTCTGACGTGCGGTGGGTCCCGCCGGGTGGGCGTCCCCCTGCGACCTGCACGTCGCCGTCGCACCGGCATCGTGCGGGCTTGAGGCAACAGGATGACGTTCAACGGCCGCATGGGAGGGGGTCGCCACGTGCGGAGCTGCGGCTCAATGGCGGCCTAAGGTACGACCTCTCCCCCTCGAGAGAGGACCGCCACCTGACCGCGCCGGCGGGTGAAGTGGGGTGCGTTGCTGCCACAGCGACGTGGGCGTTAGCTCTCGGTGTAGATGGGCCTCGGGCCTGAGTGTGTGGCGCTGGTGTGGGAGGCTGGGGCAGAGACTCAATGGGCCTCTTCCTCTCCTCTTGGCTAGCGGTGCTCCTCTGTGTGGCGGGGGCAGATGCCCTTGGGCTCTGTCTCCGACTGAGGAGGTGGCGGTGGGGGTGGAGGGTGGGGAAGAGGGGGGGGTGTTTGGGGAGATGGGGGATCGGGGAGGGCGGGTGGAGGAGGGCGGCCCATCGGGGGGAGGGGGGAGAGGGGGGAAGAGGCGGACTCCGCTGCGGAAGAAGCAGCAGGCACGCAACCAGAGGGACGTCGGGCGAGTTCGGGGGGAGGCTGTCTGAAGTGGCCCGAGTGCGGGAACGGGTGACCTGGGCGGGCTTCGATCTTTGTGTGTGTAATACGGCTACGAGTTGCAAGGAGTCTTTGTGTGTGTAATACGTCTATGAGTTGCTATGAGTCTCTGTGTGTGTAATACGTCTACGAGTTGCTATGACAGCAGCGTTCGACTATCTGAGCCCCCCCCCCCCCG